GTCACCTTTCTACTTTATCTAGTTTTTATTGTTACGTTCTTCTTGAATGTGGCTTCACGACTGAGCGGCGTACTCCATGAACAGTCTTATAAATTCCGGTGAACAGGCGTTTGAAAGTTTCGAGTTCATCTTTCTAAATACCAACTTGTGTTTGACTGGGCTTCTGCAGACAGCTTAAGTGTAAGGGTGATGGTGGTGGTTTATTCATCAGGAAGAAAGACAAGTGTCTAACTACACGGGTCTTTGTCAAATAATGACCAGTAACTGGTTAGGCACTCGGTGTCCTGCCTGAGCTAGAATTTACAACCCTTTCAAAAAGATAGGATATGACCTACTAGTTTCCCAAGATGTGAGTATACTGCAGGTTGCTAAGCGTGAAGTGTGCTCAATATATTTTATTCCTGATTTTAAGATTTTTCGTCAGCCCTAGGGACCCGTAAATGACACGTTCTTCTGGCCTCTTCTTCCTTGTACTATCCTCACGTTCCAAAGTACCCGGTCGAGCTATATTCCAGAAAATACACTCTCACGATTTATATAGCCTGCTGGTTTAAATCTACAGTTTTCCCTCCTAAGTTGTACGAGTGGGATTACCTATTTATATTATTGGAGCAAAGCTTATGCCTCTGCTTGTTTACTTCTGAGTATCCTGAACGTTGTTACCATATCTCCTCATATACTGCCTTATCCATCAGGTGTATGTAATATTACGCAAACACGAAAACTCCTGTTATGTCACGGAGAAATGTGTAACGTGTTCACAATATTAGTTAGCTGGTTTGTTCATTACACCGTACAAGGTATAGCATAAAAGTTTTAAAGTGGGGAGGAAGGGGAGGGGGAGGGGAGGGGGGAGGGGGGAGGGAGGAGAGGAGGAGAGAGAGAGAGAGAGGAGAGAGAGAGAGAGAGAGAGAGAGAGAGAGAGAGAGAGAGAGAGAGAGAGAGAGAGAGAGAGAGAGAGAGAGAGTACTGTCATCAGGTGTTTTCAACAGGATTTACCGCCTCAATGCTCCTGGTAACAAGCAGTGTATGTGGTGGACACACACACCAGCAGACAGATCACCAGGAATAATCGCTCATCCGATTTTAACATTAATAAAGACTCTTTTTTTTCACTTATCCACTACTTGACATTCAAATTTCCCAAAGCAAATGTAGCCTCAATGTCTTATTTTCCCCATCATTACGAGTAAAAAAAATCTTTCTGCACAGAAAAAAAACACCCAATTACTAAGAAGATAATTATACTATTACTAATAGACCGTATTGTTAAAAAACAACTAATTATTAAGATAGAACACTGTCGAGTAGAACACCTAATACTAAGAAAAACTTACTGAAAAATACCCCGATGTTAAGAAACTCCCTATTAGTAAGAAAAATTAAAAAAAAAATGCTAAGAAAAACACCCAAGACAATGATTTACTGTTAAAAAAAGTACCTTATTGCTATGAAAAATACCCAAATTTGAGAAAATTGCTGAAAGGTAAGTTAGACAAATTTTTTGGGTAGAATAAACTGTATGTTTCACGGATCACTGACTACCTACCTACATCATCATAAACGGTGGTGTGTTGGGGGTGTGGCAGCGAGGTGTAATCTCGTCCTTATATGCCTTCCTGTAAACCTTTCATTTGTATAGTTCCTTGACAATGTGAGGAGTCACGAAATCGCTTGAAATTTCACTATTCTTTCACAGTGGTTGTTTTGCATATTCTGACATCACCTGTTTACTGTGATCTCATTATATATATATATATATATATATATATATATATATATATATATATATATATAATATATATATATATATTCATTTATTTATTTATGTATTTTCAGATCTTTGCTATGAGCGTGCACATACATTTATTCATTAACTACATAACACACAAAACAAATGCACGCACATGCACACAGATGTACACACAAAAGACAACAAAGGCCTCGCGCGACAAACACAAACACACACAGACAGACAGACAGGACAAGACACACACACACACACACACACACACACACACACACACACACACACACACACACACACACACACACACACCTACCTTTGTATCGACTGCTGTTACCACTCCACTTCAGTTTCCAATATATCGGACTACCATCTACTTCCCCCAGAACTGAGAGCAGCTCTTGCTTGAGGTAATAAATATTGTGCCTAAATATTGCCAATAGCTGTCACACTTCTACCCACTATTGGAAACCTCAGAGAGCCCTAACGTCGCAAATCGATCTATTCTTATCTAGGTTACCTGAGACGATATCGGGGGGGCCACTGTCCCTACGGCCCGGACACAGTCCAGGCCTCCTGGTTGATATCCTGATTAACCAGGCAGTTGGTGCTAGCTATACACAATCCACCATAGGAACCACAGCAAGGAGTCTGTTAGTAATTCTCCCTATGTATGATGGGTGTTGAAAAATCTTGGTCCCTTTACAATTACTGAGTTGTCTTCAGTGTACTCACCACATTTCTGTTTTTCATTGGGAGTATTTTGCTCGGTCTAACGAATCTCTTTGTCTCGGAAGGAGTAACTTCGGTGTGTACATTTTGGATCAATTTCTCCAGAATTTTCCAGGTGTAAAATCATGGCGTATCCTGGCCTACGTTCCAGACAATACAGTTCAAGAGACCTCAATCGCTCTCAGTAATTAAGGTTCCTGTCTGTTCATTCTCCAGTAACGTCATTTTGCCGCCTACCTTACAAGGTGATGCAGTAATATTCCAGTCTAGAGAGCACACATGACTTAAGGGTATCATCAATAACTTGGAATCTCTTATTTTGAAGGTTCAAGATATTTAGTCTATCAAATTTCTTCGTCTGTGATAGCAACACTGTCGTGATCTATGAATGTAAAGCCACCTGGCATCACTTCTAGGATTTATATTGTTATACCGCTCTATTTTTCATCCACAGTGGAGTAACCGATATATGTTCTCATTTAACATCATACTGTTTTCTGTGGCTTACTGGAAAACAGTTAATATATGCTTGAACATATGCTGTCCCCAGTGGATGCCATGCTCTTACAAATTATAGTATCGTTTATATGTCTGTCTCTTTCAGGAATAAGAATGAGAGAGAATTGGGGCGAGTACTGTACCTTGAGGAACAGAAATTTTCCATGTGGAAGACTCTGATTTTACTCTGTTGACTATTACTCTTTGCTTTCAATTTGTTAGAAAATTAAAAAAAATCCATCTGCCCACTTTTTCAGTTATTCCTTTTACACGCACTTTGTGTACTACTACACCATCGTCACATTTATTGAATTCTTCTACAAGATCTCTGCATACTACAATGGCTTACTGTTTGTCTTTCAGTACATCCCACATCGTAATGATCCAGGAGTCGAGAGAGGCAAGAGGGAACTGCTCTAAACTCAGGTTGCCCCAAGTTGTGCAATCGATCTTTCTTCTTAAAACTCTTTTAAAGAATTTGATATTGTGGCACGTCCGTTTTGTTGGCCTTTAGCTTTTTGCAACTGCTATATTGCCACTTTTGTGTAGTGGGTCTATATCTATTGTTTTTAACTACTACGGGATGACTCCTGTGTCCAGGAGTCATATGATTTTTTTTTTTAATATTTTAATGAATACTGAGTTTCACTAGTCTGCGCTGGGGTAAAGTATATGAGAATACTATCAATGGCTTCTTTAAAAAATCGAATCGGGCTTGGTTAGGTCAGAAATCTGGAGATGTTGGTAGAGTTCTGGATCTCATTCATTTGAACTGTCAGTCTGTACTGAACACAAGAGTCACATGACCTCAATATTGGGAATGGGACCAAACTCATTATTTTTTTACCATCCTCTCGTATGTGGGCCCTTCGAAATTCGTCTCAAATCCCTTATGAACTTGGGTATTATTACTACTAATATAAGAATAAAAGTAATAATAAAAATAAAAAGAACAAATAATAATAATAATATTAATAATAATAATAATAATAATAACACTGGTCTACAAATTTTGAAAAATTTTATGCTTCGGAGGTAACATGGCATTTTACTTTAAGGTTTCTGGGATGCTGAAAACGAATATGGTCATAATAACAATCGACTAGCTAAAGTTTTCAAGGAAATATATTTACACATTTTGCATATGTGTATACAATATTTTAGAAACACACGTGTGTAATGAATGTATTAACTTATATGGATTCAACCTGACGTTTATTGGCTCGTCTCGTGTATTCCAATTTTGGTGCATCTCTTGTTATTGATCAGTAGAAATCTGCTAATAATAGTGGACGCAGTTTTGCCCTGGTAGCATTTCTCCATGACTGAGATGTCCTGGCGGAAACGTCCACCGTGTTCATCGCCAACTACTCCGTGACACGAAATCCAATTTTCCACAAACATAACGAAAGTTATCTTCATTGTTCACGCAACTGCGAGGCATCTGTGATCAAATTTGACTGAAAAAGTCAATATCAAGAGCAAATAATAAAAACAGTTAACATGTGTGCACTATCTGACTTTCGGGAATGATGACCTAATACCCAAACTCTGGCATCGAAATTGCCCAGAAAATGGTAACCAAATCAAATTTGAATAACTAGTGGTTCATGAGAATAAGCCTGTCCCCATCCTTTCTTCCCCCGAAAAAAAGAAACTTGAAAAAGGACTACTAAAGAGAAATATAGGAAACTGCATGTGTTTTTATAAACAATTACGCATTGTTGCTTTGAATCTAGAGCCTTTTTCCCTGTACAGTTTATTTACCTTCGACCCTGCTCAAGTCAAGGGTGACAGCAACCGGCCTTAGTTCATATCTTCATAAGTAGAACCGATTTGCAATTTTAAGCATCATTTCCATATTCAGTGAGCAAAAAAAAAATAGTGAAGAATGACTAGTTTTATATCCGAAGCGTTTTGGTGGTAGACCAGTGTAATAAAATAAACAAGAAAATAATAATAATAATAATTGGGGACCTACCTGCCACTACCAAACAGTGACTAACCACACTGGGGGACCTACCTGCCACGACGTTGTCTGCCTGCGGAAGTCTCTGCAGGACATGGGTGATGAGTCCCACTTCAGTGCAGGCTTGCAGGTTACGGACACTCTTCCTCAGGATCGCGATAAAAACTGACCATATCTCGGCCTGCAAAAAGATAAAAAAAAAACACATTGTTGCACTCCTGATCAATACACGTCGATTATGAAAGTCATGTCATTTGCCCTTGCATCATGTACGTTATGTGAAATATTCCACTGTTAAATGTACATCACGGTGTTAGATGTGAAATACATCAATGTTACAATTGTATTAACATGTCCGTCACGTCACCTTCCTATCACGTAGAATAAGACGCAAAATCTTCAGGTACAATGACTGAAACATGATACGACATCTGGCGATATACCTTTGAAGAATTTCGAGAGTATATCTACTCTCTGAGCCCGGCCATGGGCCAGGCTCGTCTGGTGAGGATAGCCTCGGGATACATTCTGCGGGGTAACCATGATTAAATATCATGTCAAGGTTTAACATGATGTATGCCTCCTATGGTGGTACCTTGTACTAATTTGAAGAAAGGAGGAAAACATGATTCAAAGAATTAAGGACTCAAAAAGATGTCTTTTTTGGATAAAGTTAAAAAACTGGACAATTTGCCGTACGTACAGAAATAGCAAAATATCTAACTTTTAAATTTACGAGAAAAAACGTTTGTCAAAAAATCACTAAATAAAACAATGTATTTTCTCTCAATGCTGGAGTCTCATTTTCTCCCAATAACAACCGCGCCATCATTACCCGAATGGAAACTATGAAAAAATCCCTATTGTTCTGCAAAAAAGTTAAGATAGACCAACCTAGAAGAGCCAAAGTATCGACTAAGAAAAGTTTCCTCCGGTGGAAGGTGAGGAGAAATTTAGGCGTCGCCGTACCATTAAGATTTGTCTTACACCTACAGGACGCACAAGATGTTTTAGCGAGTATCAAGAAGACTGGAAGACAGTAGCCATCGAGGAAGGTATCACCATCCTATAACAATGCCTGTGAAACAAAAGCCTGTTCTATGTTTTGCTCTGGCAGAACTGCTCATCTTTTCCTTCTGTCTTTAGAGCATGTCAGACACAGTCAAATAATACAAGCTTTTATTTGCGTTCAGTAAATAATTTTCTTTATTTTATCTGCATATTCTCAATAGTTATTATTATGTAATATATCCTTTCCAATTCAGAAGGCCTGGTCTAAGACCAAGCATCAGGGGCGATGATCCCCGGATCTATTAACAAATATATATATCAGGCAGGACTGATATTCGCTTGAGGGAACTGTACACACGGCGGAAATACTATAGTATACTACACAATTTCAAACTGATCATTATCAGCTACATTCATACACCAATCAATTAGTAATTTAGAGTTTAGGATCTATCTCGAGAGTAAATAAGGGGTTCGGGCTAATAATAACGTTCATGGATGGATTAACAGAGGAAAAGTCAGAAAGTTGCTTTGAGAGTAATGAATGACACATTACCAGGGCAGACATGAGTGAAAATAACGCAGAGAGCATTACAAGACTGTAAATTTGCCAAGGCATATATGTACAATGAAAAAATGCCAATAGTAAAATCATATACACAGACGTGAACATTTTCAAATAACAAGGGCCACTGACTAACCGTCTCAACATTTACATTTTTTCTCCTTGACACGTTCAGAGAATTCTTCTACCGTACCTTCCCCGAATCTTATCCGTACCCCGGCCAAAGGCGAGGCTTCCATGGTAACTACCTGGTCAACCAGGCTGTTCGTGCAAGTGGTCCGCAGGCAAAAAAAAAAAAAAAAAAAAAAAAAAACTTGGGCCACGGACGTGGACAGTGTCCTCTAATTGTACCCATGACCCCCTGCTCCTCATTAATTTTACCATTTTCTTAGTACCCCTTCAACAAAGTACGTATACTGCAGTTAATGGCAGTAAAATGAGTACGGTTATTAAACTCATTCATCAGAAAATGGATATTTAACTGATTCTGCAGAAGCTGAATCAAGGCGACCCTCTGTTGGCAACATTCCACTTGCATATCAATCACTGCTGCACACGTGAAGGCCAGATATTTAATGTATTTTCCGAACTTTTACGACGGAACATTCTGGAAACTTCGAGTCACATGAGTAAGGCGTGAAAATTGTCTATCTTCACTCCGGGAGTCTTTTCATAAATCCCTGAACCCCGGGTCGAGGCTTTTTTACACTACCGCGTTCTTCTGGTCTTCAAAAAAAAAAAAGTTTTCTTTGTCAAGAGGGTTCTCAGTAGCAACTGGATTTTTAGGCATTTTTTCTTCTTCATTACATCCTTTTACCTTCAGAAAGATTTTGTTTTCAGTGTACTTTAGTTAACGTAAAACAGATTTGTGTATTATTATTTAAAAAAGTTTCCGCATGTAACTAAGATATAAATTTTAGGAAGGTTGTGGTAAACAAGAAAGATACTACAATAAAGAAATAAGTTACTGGTTTGAAAGTATTAAATCTTTTAAGCAGCATTAATGAAAACCCACGCCTTCCACCTTTGAATGACGAGGCTGCTCATTCTGAGTTACAAGTTCAAGGGAAAAAAAGAGGTTTTTAGAAGTCTTGATTACTTCCTATGTTCGGTATTTTATTAATTTAAAGACGATGAGTTAATCTGGGGTACACGAAGACTTCATTTGGAAAATGTGATAAGCAAGTTCTCTCGATATACTCACATTAAACATTAAATGAGAGGATCAAGATAAATATACATGCCTCTCTCAAGATCCAACATCCCAGCAAGCACTGTGCGCTGCCTCTCAGAAGACAAATAAAATCATCTTAGAAAGTGGTTGTAAAACTTAGGTAAGATCAAATTCGGTTTCCCACAAGAACGAAACATTGTGAAATAAGACTGATACGACTCTGCATAAAAGCAGTCTATTCTCAAGAATTTTTGCATAAGAAAGTTTCAAAACTACTGACAGAAGAGCCCATGTGCGGAAGAGAAACTGGGGACGCAGTCATTTGGTAGTTCCAGCTCGCCATCACGATGAAAAAGGAAATCCGAGACTCGCCTTTTCTGCAAGTTGAGACAAATGGGAGGCATTTGCTCACTATGGGAGGGTTGCATTCCCTAAAGGGCTGAGGCAAGCCTCGTTAAGTGTCAGGCTGTTGATCAATGCTATTCTCTTTTACCTCTCCTTATCTCATTACCAACCAATCTCTCTCCTCATCCTCTTCACTCCCTTCCTTACTCCCTGACCCCTATTTTGCTATCTTTTCCATTCAGTCAGCCAATCGTTTCTGTCTCTCTCTCTTACAACTGCTTCCCCATCATGATCTAACAATAAAGAAATTCCTATGTAACAAACAAGGCAGCCCCACCACTAGGCGTTTCTAGGGAAGGAGAATGCCTGAGGATACATGCCGGGGGATGAGTGTCTGCGGTGAGTGTAGTAGCCGGGGAAATTAAAGTGACATTTGATAGTTTCCAGTCATTTGGTATTTTGCCTCCTCCTACTGACTTGTTAAACATTACTGTTAGAGTTCACGCCATATGAAGTTTCCGATTATTTAAGAATGTTTCTGGCTTTTAGTTCACCAAGCCTACTTAATCTGTCAGCGTTCAGCTGCTGTAGCTATAAAGACCAAAAAAGGCACAATACAGTGACTGAAATTCACAAATAACCCGAACATATGAGAAAGAAGCTTAGGACGAAGTTTCGGTCAGAATTAGAACATGGACTAGTCATAAGCTGCTTTCTCCTTTGTGCAAGTTATTTGCTATTGCTAAGATTAAGTGATAAGTCTGTTAATTTTAAAAATATTTAGTGCTTCACAACCTCTGACTCTACAACAACACTGTGTCCTGGCGGTGTTCTGGGCTGTAAATATAAAGCTGAAGACCCAATGCTACTGTATGTTTTTTGCATTAATAGTTCGATCCGATTTACCTTAAAGATATCTAGAAGTATCAGAAAAGTTGGGACTCACTACATTTATTTCAATCTCGAGGTTTACGTTGAAAATACATGAAACATACCGATGATCCATTTCGAAAGTTCTCTCCTCGCAGCCCAGCCAGAGGCCAGGTTTCCTTGTTGACCGCCTGATCAACCAGTTTGTTGGTGTTAGCGGCCCTCAATTCCACACAGCCATCATAACCCGAGTGATCAGTCAGAGTAATGTTGTAACCACCACTACTACTTCCTAGACCTTCCCCCCTATGAACGTATTATGTCACTATATCTGGTCAAAATAAGAACAATATATTTTACCCATATGTTAAGAGTAATGACAATATGATAAGACAGCTAATTTGTAACATGACTAGTCACTGGTCTGGTTGTTTCTTAAAAGCCCTCTCAGTTTACTGCAGTTGACGTTTGAGTTATTGAAGCCATCCAATGTTCAGGAGAGAGAGAGAGAGAGAGAGAGAGAGAGAGTGAGTCTGAGAGAGAGTCTGAGAGAGAGTCTACAATCAGTGCACGAGAGAGAAATATTTTCGACAATAGTGGAGTGCGAGGAGGACCGCAGCTTTAATCTTGAGAGAACGTGGCCTGATCTACATATCAAATGGCGAAGACACAAGACTGACTGCATTGGAAAGGATCAAGTTGAGGAAAGTCATGAAATACTTTTGTTGAAGTGGAAATGGTGTAATTGAGAAAGAGAGACGGAGGGGGAGGGAGAGGGGAAGGGAGAGAGAGAAAAAGAGAGAGTGGGAGAGAGAGAGGGGGGACAAGAGGGAGAGAGAGAGAGGGGGAAGAGGAAAGAGAGTGGACATGGAAGAAAACAGGGGAGAGGGGAAGGAGGGGAGGAAGGAAATGTGATTTAGGGGAAAGTTTTGACCAGTGAAACCAGCGCTCGTTGTAATAAATTAAAAAATGCAAATTCAACAAAATAATGTTATCACGCCAATTTAAAACCATATCAACAAATTCATAAGCCAAGATCAATTAAAATTCACCAGTTAAATATATATCAAATAGTTAACATCAAAAGACCGCGCTATAGCATCTCCGAGATCCCTTTAGGCACCCTGGTAATTATAAAAAACATGACTTGGCCTCAAAGCTCAAACTTCATACAAGCAGTTAAAATGTGATTCACAGTCAGCAACAGCCACACGTC